ACAGTTGACTGGAGGTGTTGGTGTGCTAGACATTGTCTTTGTGGTTGGGATATTGTGTGTGTGTGTGTGTGTGTAATTGAGAATGTGAGTGTATACAGTGATGAGAGGGAAAGGTGAATGGGGGTGAATTGGGGTGATTGTGTTGGTGGTAACGTTGGTAGTGGTGGTAGTGAGCAGTTGTGGAATGAGGAGGTGAAAAAAGGCAGGCGTGTTCTTTCTTGGAAAGGCGTCTTTCAGAGTTTTCTCTTAACAGTGTCACTGGTGGATTTTAGTTTGGTAGCTTTTTAGAACAACACTTCAAAGTTCACAATTTAAAATGGTGAAAAATGTAACTTTGATTTACTTTTGCTAATTTTTAATCTCGCACTCTTTTTCTGTTTTTACTTCTTCTTGTTGTAGGGACCATATTCGCGCCACAGTTCGTAGTTGAGCTCGGGCAGCGTCGAGCAGAGGATCTTCGGGTTGTGCTCGGAGGCCTTGAAGAGCGGCTGCACCTGGACGGCCTCGAGGTCGGTCGTCTTGCAGAGCAGATTGGCCAGCGACAGCGTGTGGCGGATGTTGTTCAGTTGTTCTAGAGAAAGAGATAAAGAGGCGAGAAAGAAAAGGAAAAATTTAGTAAAAATATTACTTTCATTTCTGAAAACATTATTTAAAATTTTGTTGTAAGTGCTCAAAGGTCAGTGACGTCTGCTCCTGTCTGCTTTTCTCCTGTCTCCGTTAATGAGCTGTCTCAAGGGCGCAATTAAAGTGACCAGCAGTACATGAAGTAAATGGCTATGACCAGTTCAACAGCAACAAAGCGACTCGTCTCATCATCTTGTCAACTTCGTCATTTTTACGCCTAGCAGCTTCTTTTTGCACTGAATGTTTTCGCTTTTTTGGGCGTTGGCAATTTTGCCTCTGGTGCTAGTGGTGGCGGTGGCGGCAACGATCATCGACTGATTGACTTTTGTTCTTTTCCCTTTTTTCTCTTTTTCACTTTCTTTTTCAAACAATGTGTCTCAGCTCCCTGCACTTACAACACATCATCATTATCGTCGTCGTCATCACTTACTGCCTGTGATCTGTATCGCTGAATAATCTCAACTTTCTTTTCCTTTTTATATATCTAAGTACACTTATCTGACCAATTAACTCGATTGCACTGAGCTGAGCAGAGCAGTCTGAAAGCAGATGATTACTCTTCTCACACGTGTGAGAACTGCCTTTTTTGTTTGTACTTATCTCAAGTAGTGATGCCAGTGTGTGTAAGTGCGCGCATCTAGATAAACTTCTGCTTTTGCTGCTGCTGCCGTTGCCGCAATTACATGAGCGAGATTGCATCAACTGCTGCATGCACTGCTCATTAATTCATTTTTACTCAAATTTAAATACGCGCTGTGTGAGTAATCAAGTTGGAGTACTTTGAAGGCGGGAGAGACAGAGAAAAAAGAGGGAAAGCGTTTTGCTCATGAAAGATAACTAATCAGTTATCTGCGCCAATTTCACATTTAGACACAAAAGCTTTCCCTCTCTCACACTTTTCTTCACAACTCTTTTTCTTTAAACGCAAAGAGGCAAAAAAATGGCTAAACTAAAAACAACTATGATGACTACTTTTCCAGATTGTTTTACTTATTTTACTTATTTCACTTACCCAGACTGAAGCTGCCCGACTCTCCGCCGTGCTCAAAGTAGAAGCGGTCACCGAACTTCCAGTGGTGAAACTGGATGCCGTTCAGACAGCCAAAGGTCGGCCCCAGAATGGAGCCGAAGGCCTTCACCTCGGAGAGGCCGCCCACAAAGAGATCAATGTCGCGGAAGTCACTGGAGGGAAGAAAAGGGGAGAAAAAAAATGATCAATCAAATTAGTATTTCAGAAAAAAATATGCCCAATAAACACAATTGAAAAAAAAGATACTCACCGGTACACCGACTGCAGCTCCTTGATGCGCTCCTCGGGAATGAAGCGAATTAGATCGGCCCAGCCGGTAATCTTGGCGCCGGTGCAGTACTCGAGGAAGTAGACGTAGGCGGGCACGCCGTGCTCTCGCCCGCGGTTGACGTTGATGGCGGGCAGGTCGATGATGGCCGGGTTGCGCGGGTTGAAGAAGAGAAAGTCCTTGACGTCGGTGACGACGAACTGGTCGGGCACGTTGCTCGGCTCCTCGAGGAGGCCGCGGAGGACGCCGTGGGCGTTGCCCGCCCAGATGTCCGACATCTCGAAGAACTTGTTGCGCAGAAGGAAGGAGTAGGAGGGGGCGGCCTTGTTGAGGACGTTGAAAACGCTGAAGACCTGCGAGTGGCCCATGCNTCGATGGGTCGATGGTGGGGTCGTACTTGGTGAAGCCGTCGGCGAGGGGGGCCAGGTCGAAGTACTTGGTCAGCTTCTCGCCGAGGATGGAGGGCATGTACTCGCCGAAGTGGATTTTGGTCGCCTCGGCGATGGTGATTCGTCTAGAGGGGGGGGGGAAAGGAAAGATAAAAACATTAAAAATTACATGTTTTCATTAAAAAATCATCCTCCTCATCCTCTTCAATTACCTCGCCTCCTGGAAGAGCACCTCATCGTCCCAGTGCGGGTTGACCAGCGCCAGCGCCTTGGCGTGCGAGTTGTGGCGCCTTCGGAGGACAATGTGCAGCGAGTTGATGCCCGGTTGCTGGTTCCCCCGGATGCCGTCGCCCGTGTGGTAACAGGTCAGCTGCGGATTGCTCAGCGGCTCATTGCAGGGCGTCAGGTCGAGGGTGTCCTGCTCCTTCGGCAGACGGCGGACGGGCAGCGTGTCATTGCCCATCAGGTCGGTGGAGCCGCGCAGCATGCCTGGTAGATTAGGTTGATAAGAAGAAGTTGATAAGAAAAAATTTGATAAACTTTGCCTGCAACAAAGAAAGGAAAGGACGTTCAAAATGATTACCATTTCTAAAGCTTCGCAGCGTCAACGAGTCGTCAATCAGATTGCCGCCGTAGAGGTTGGACAGGTCAAGGACCTGGGTGGCAACGTTCAGCTGGTCTCGAGGTCCTGGAAAATGAAGTGGAAAATCAAAGATTAAATTAAAAATAAGCTTATCAACTTATCAACTTATCAATTTTTTCCTTCCTCCTCCNGCCCATCAGGTCGGTGGAGCCGCGAAGCATGCCTGATAGAGTAGTTTGATAAGATTTTGATAAGAAAAAATTTGATAAGTTTTGCCTGCAGCAAAGAAAGGAAAGGACGTTCAAAATGATTACCATTTCTGAAGCTTCGCAGCGTCAGCGAGTCGTCAATCAGATTGCCGCCGTAGAGGTTGGACAGGTCGAGCACCTGGGTGGCAACGTTCAGCTGGTCTCGAGGTCCTGCAAGATGAAGGGGAAAAAAGTCAAAGATTAAATAAAACTTATCAAATTATCAATTTTTTCCTTCCTCCTCCTCCTCATCCTCTTACCGAGACTGCAGGTGTTGCAGGCAATGGAGCGGACGGTGTTGATGCACTGCTGGTTGTTGAAGGCGGCCGTCGCCTCGTCCTGGGGAAAGTTGGTGATGGGCACACACTCCGGGTGGACGGTGGCGTTGGGAATCAGGCAGCAGTTGATGGCCAGCCCCAGGTTCTGAATGGTGCGGAAGGCGTCGTGGACCATGAACTGGCCCCAGGCCATGTTCAGGCCGGAGAGCGCTAGGTCGGGCACCATGATGTCCGGCAGGAGGAAGCTGGTGATGGTCCGCGGGCTGGGCAGCGTCTGCCCGTCGACGGCCACTCGAGGCTGGTTGATGCCGTCGGAGTAGTCCGGCGGGAGGAGGCGTCGGTGGCAGTGGAAGCTGCTGCCCCAGTTGGGGAAGGCGATGTTGTNTCCTCTTACCGAGACTGCAGGTGTTGCAGGCAATGGAGCGGACGGTGTTGATGCACTGCTGGTTGTTGAAGGCGGCCGTCGCCTCGTCCTGGGGAAAGTTGGTGATGGGCACACACTCCGGGTGGACGGTGGCGTTGGGAATCAGGCAGCAGTTGATGGCCAGCCCCAGGTTCTGAATGGTGCGGAAGGCGTCGTGGACCATGAACTGGCCCCAGGCCATGTTCAGGCCGGAGAGCGCTAGGTCGGGCACCATGATGTCCGGCAGGAGGAAGCTGGTGATGGTCCGCGGGCTGGGCAGCGTCTGCCCGTCGACGGCCACTCGAGGCTGGTTGATGCCGTCGGAGTAGTCCGGCGGGAGGAGGCGTCGGTGGCAGTGGAAGCTGCTGCCCCAGTTGGGGAAGGCGATGTTGTTGCAGCGGCCATTCATCAGGCGGTACTTGTAGTGGGCGTCGCACTGGATGTCACTCGACTCCNCTGGGCAGCGTCTGCCCGTCGACGGCCACTCGAGGCTGGTTGATGCCGTCGGAGTAGTCCGGGGGGAGGAGGCGGCGGTGGCAGTGGAAGCTGCTGCCCCAGTTGGGGAAGGCGATGTTGTTGCAGCGCCCATTCATCAGGCGGTACTTGTAGTGGGCGTCACACTGGATGTCACTCGACTCTGACTTGTCGATGTTGCAGTACTCCTGGTTCAGGTTGGGGCTCTTCGGGATGCGGATGGTAGGGAGAATGGCGGCGGTGTTGTACTTGTTGATGCATTTTCTGTAGAGTGAGGGGAAATGAAAAAATTAAAACAAAAAATTACAATTAAAAATGTTTTGAACTACAAATTATTTTACTTTTTTAAGCGAAAAACCTAAAAATGTTTGGTAACTGTTCAGCTGTTAGCCAATTATTTTTTTTGGCAGTTATTTAGTGATTGACTGCTATTTATAAACACCATACTACTTTTCTATACTTTGATTAAATGATCATGTATTAAACTATTAATACAATAAAGCGAGCAAGTTAGCACTCAAGACGCACTTCTCTCTATTGTTTGCCAAAATGTTTGTGTTTGTGTGCTTGGGTGTGCTTGGCGTTGGCGTCGCTGGCTTTGTCTTGTTTTGTCCTGCGTTTTTCTTGCCTGCTTAAGTTATTAGCTTTGTTGTTAAAGCGCCACCACCGCCTCATATTGCAACAACCTCTTCTTCTTCTTCTTCGTCTTCTTACTTTTGTTTTCAATGGCAGTTAAACAAACTTAAACCAAAGGTAGAAAACAACAAAACACCAAGGGAGAGGTGGTGGTGGTGGCTTGCTAAAACGTAAATGAAGCCATCCAACTAGCTATCCTGTTTTCAGTACTGTTCATTGTTCATTTGCAGTCTTCGGATTATAGCTGTTTTGAATCAGAGCAAAACAAGACAACAATCTCTTTCTCTCTCTCTCTCTCTCTCTCTCTCTCTCTCTCTCTCTCTCTCTCTCTCTCT